ATGATAACAATTATCAAAGCATTAGGCATGATAGACAAAAGGAAACATGCACATGCACAATTTGGTCAAAAGAATTAGAGGAATATTGCTCCTTTCTATCACCATGTTGAATTGACAATTGAATATCATTCAAGGATCATGGGAGCTTGAGAATAACACAATCAAAGACCATGAAGGTCAGTAGCAACCACATATCAATCATACTCAATTAATTTAACCACAACTCACAAGCACAATAGAAGATGAAGCCCACATAATGCATCAAAAAGGTTCAATCATTCAAACATGGGGCAATAAGTGAAATGACTTGATTTTATTTTGAATAAACATATCCAACAAGATCATTAGGTTCCCAATTATAGGCCTCACTCAAGTTCATTGTCCATCAAACAAATTACAACAAGACATGCAACATTAATTGGGTACCTTCACTTCAAAAATACATCAAAAATAGAAACAAGGATAAATAAATCAAACTAAAAACTTCTTAGCATCTTTGAAGTGTGTAGAAGTCAGAAAGCAGGTCTTAAGTTCATGAATGATTGAGGAGGGGATCCAATGAGGCCCAAAGTTCAAGACTAGTTGGCAAAACTACCAAACTAGACAAGTTTTCAAAATAATTTGTGGAAAAATGTCAAACTAAGTCAAATAATTCAAGAAAAATGGTTTTCAGATCCTCAATGCATCCATGAACCACAACCAAAACTTAAATTCCATTGAAAGTCCAGGGCATAAGGGTTTTGAAAAAGAAACTTGCACAATAAGCAAACAAAACCCTAATTTTTGACTTTTAATCTTAAATATTGATTAAGTAAGATCAAAATTCAAACAATTCAAACCAAGATCATACAAATCACAAAGAAACCCTAAATGTCAGAATACATGTTTTTTCACTTTTTTGAATTAAGGAAAAGTCAAAAATAAAATTAAATTCAAACAATTAATCAATTAATCCAATAATCACATCTCAAAATGAAATTCTAAACAAAAGTCAGAAAAACGTCCAACCAAAATTATATTCAAATATTAGAACTAAAAACACACATCTCTAATTTTTTTTTGGAATTTTGGAATTAAAGGAAATATTAAAATAAAAATTAAACAAACAATTAACAATTAAACCATTATTTAAGGGCAAAAATCCAAACCCTAGCCAAAAATCACAAAAAGGTCAAAATAAAAATATATTCAGATTCTATGATTAAAAACAAGCTTGCATGATTTTTTTGAAGATTTTTGAATTAATGGAAGTATTAAAATAAAAATTATAAAGCAAAAATTCAAAATAAACATCTCAAATTAATTTCATAATCAAAAATAGAAAAAATGCTAAACAAATTTCAGAATCAAATTCTACATGATTTTCTGAGTCAAAAATATTTTTTGTGGAATTTTTCAAATCAAAGAAATATTAAAATAAAAATAACACTAAACAAACAATTAATTAAACTCATTAATTTTTAAACCAATCAAAACATTTTCAAAAATTATCAAAAAAAAAAATGCACAAGATCATGAATATTATTTTGAATTTGTGATAATTTTTTCAGAATTTTTCAACCATTTTTGAGCAAGAAATAAAATCATGAAAATCAATTTATGAAACAAAATTCAAATGAATTAAAGAAACAAGTCAACCAACCAGAGGAGGCCACACAATCATCTTCAACCTCTGGCTAGGGCAAAAACGCGTGCGTGATCAGGTTCATCATCTCATGTTCCAGTCAACATAACATGCTCAATTCTACACCATTTTTCATGAAATTTCGTGCAAATTAAAGCCAGCATTTCATACTTCGACATGCAATTCGAATCATATCAAATAATTAACCATGGATCAAGAACAGATCGTGCAAAAATGTCAAAAACTCACTGAACAGAAAAATTTCAGATACATCATTCATGCACATCTCATCAAATTAAAAGCTCTGAAGCTACAGAAACACTTAGTGAACTTCAAACAACATGATTATGAACTCAAATCACACAATGCACGGCTAGAAATCAAGATCCAAATTTAAGAATTCAAACCTTTGAGGCAAAAACGAATATACTATCTCCTTCACTCCAGTTGCAAACCAAGCCTCGATCTACAATCCTTATCACTTGGAGAAGAGAATGCAAGAAGAATCAACCAAAACGCGCAAGGGAATTGAAAGAATCGAAGAAAATTGCAGAACAAGTAGTTACAGAGTTTTCTGAGTTCAGGGATGAAATGAAGCATGAATTCCGTTCAATGAGGCTTGCCTCTCAATATATAGAGCATGAAGAGGAGGGTAGGATAGGTTTTTTTCACACTGAAAACTATTCGAAAGAATGAATTCCTCTTTTTGCCAAAATCAAGTGTGCACATGCAACCCTCAAATCCCTCGTGCGTTTGCTTGCATTTTACATACATTTCAATCCATTTTATCTCAGGAAGAGATTAGCAAAAGAATTAAGGCTTAAATCCTTGTATTAAGCAAGTGTTGGTGATTAGGCATTTTCATGCTACTTTTTGCAAAATCATGAGTTGCCCTTGCATTTGCCCATGTACAGCTCAAACTTTGGCATGATGGGCCTTGGTACATTGAATATTAGTCATGGGCCAAGTTTGTAGTGAAACAAATGGCCACAAATCAAGTTATCAAGAATTTGCAATTTGCATGGTATGCATGAATTCAATAAAATGCCTCCAAATTCCAAGGTCCATAACTTGCTCATACTTTTAAATTTGGACACAAATGAATACAATTTGGAAAGGTATTAAATATATCTACAATCCCTTAATTTTGAGTTTTTGCAATTGAATCCATTAAGTTTCTCAAAATTGAGCTTGAAATTCACTAATTTTGGAAAATGACCTATAATTTTGTGACTTCCAAAGACCATAATTCTTGATTCTTTGCCAATTTGGACATGAAACCAAAAGGAGATGAAATACCATCCTCTTATCTTTCCAAGCATACTTCATTTGCATTTTTTTGATCAAAGGTGAATAAAATATGAATTTTTGAAATTAAGTCCTCATTTTCCAAAATTAGAAACTTTTAGGGTTTCTTTCATGAACAAGTTTCAACCTAAACCTCAACCTTTTTGATCCAATGATCAAAATGGACTTGAAATATGAAAATTACACCCTTGAATTGATGGTTGGCCAAAAGTTCACTTAGTCAACCTTGACTTTGACTTATTTTGACCAAAATAACCATTTGCCCCTCTGAATCAATTGATCCACTTCCCTTCAAAATTGATGATCAAAACTTCAAACATATGATCTTTCAAACATATAGAGGCCATGTACAAAGTTTCACTTCAAAATTCTCAAGAAATCTTGATGAAATCCCAAACCCTAGTTTTGGTCAACACCTTAGGAGACTGATGAATCATCTCTAAAACTTCAAATCCTCTGGGCATCTTGACCAATTTCTTCTACAAAGACCTTTCAAATGTCAATGAGGTGTTGTAGCTTCCAAATCAAGACTTGTACATTGATCAATAGCCTTGATCACGCAAAACCCTAATTTGACTGGTGAATCAAAGGAGTGATTCCTTCTTATAAATAAACACAAACTTCAATCCTCTGATGATCCAAAGAGATGGATAAAGCATCTTGAGACATGCAACAACTTTTGAACTTGAAAGATCCAGAGGTTTAGATGATAAGATTCTACTTGAGCAACTTGTCAATGCAATCAACCTTCAAAGCTTGAGGAAGACTTGATAACCAAAGTACTTTGATCCCATCTCAATGTATGAATGTAATGCAATATGATATTCATGATGAAACATAAGCCTAAATCAAGAAGGTAAATTTTGGGGTGCAACAGGTAGATGTAGGATTGTGTTTGTATGATGATTTTGATGAAAAGCATGATAAATACTATGATGTATTGTGTAATGATAATGTTGATATTGTCGCAACTGGAAAAAAATATGAGTCGCCACCATTAGTTTTTGTCTTAAGGACGGGAAAATAACGGATAACCCTAATCGTTTAGAGATTCTAGATTCGCGAGTTAGTTAGACGAAAGAAAGGTGTTAGGCACCTTTCATCTCCATTGTTCTCAAGGGGCATCCTAATTTAAGTTTAGGGGTAAATCTGGAATTTAACTATTATTATTTCCATATGTTTGAGAAAATGTTTAGTTTTTTAGTTATGGGACTCGCCTTAATTTTAATCAGAGCCCAAATTCGTAGTTCCTATTGTTTGGTTGGTGATTTTTATAGGATTGCGTATAATTGCTTTCAAATTATCCTTGAGTCTTATATGAATTTGAAAAGAGTGATCTAGACACAGTTGACAGTTAATTTTGAAAGTAATCCCATTTAATTCTCTTTTAGAAAATATCTTGAGGTTTTTATTTTGTTAGTGGAAAAAATAATTTAATGGTTGGTTAGCTGTTGTAGATTAAATTTTGATCGATTGAAGAAGAGTTGATCTTCTTTAGAATTAAGTCGCGTTGAACGAAGTAATTGATTTTTTATAAGGAGTTGATTAGAATTAAATCGCGCTGGGAGAAATAAAATTGATTTGATTTATTTATAAATTTTAGATATTTAGATTTAAATAATTAATTACTCGAGGATGTGAAATCCTATTATTTGTAAAATATTGAAATTAATTTTAATTAATAATTAAAAAAAATTGAATATATGTACAAATCGGTGTGCATTTGTTATTTACAAGCTGGTGTCAAGGTTAATTTAATCAGGAATCCTAGAAATTATGTATTAATTAATCTAATTGAATAGTAATTTAATTACCTTGATTACCTTGACTATATTACTAAATTGATGATTTACAATAAAAACAAATAAAGTCAAGATATAAAAATAGAAGGAAAAACAAGTAGATCGGAAAAGTGCAAAATAGCAAAGGGGTGTAGAAATCATATACCTTAAGCACAAGTCCAATAATGAGAAAACCTAATAAGGTTAGCCACAGGTAAGAGAGGGCGCTGCTTCTTCATCACATAATAACAAAGTCTTCTTACAAAAATTGAAAAAAAGACCATTCATTATGTGACACATGGCAGAAGGAAAAAACAAAAAAAAATGCACACCGTGATATTTAAAATCGAAAACACGGTGCTTCGGGGTGGAAGGAATGACCGACGACGGCGTATGATGATGGTGAGGCTTGCACGGCGCTCGGACGCTGGGTGTTCGGATCTGCACGATTCGGCGTTGAGCGGCGGCTGCGCGCAGAGAACGTCGGAGGGGGTCGGTTTGTGATGTTGAGGGAAGATCCCGATGATGGGCGGTGCGAACGGCGGGAGCGGCTGCGTTGTCGGTGCGTTTTGGCTATGTGATGGCAACGAGAGGGAGTGTGCCTCGTTGGAGTGGAGGTCGTGTGAACAGGGGTCCGTTGCGGATTCTGCGGCGGTACTCATAGTGGCTGTCGGCACATGTTGACGACCGGAGTGATCTCGCGGTAGCTCTCGGAGCAGTTTGCGGTTGATGTTGATTTTGTTTACAAACTTTATTTTCCTTCTTTTTAAACAACGACCTGCAAGCAAAACTAAAAAAAAAATAGCAAAAGTAATGAAAGAAAAAAACTACACAAGTTGTACAATTAACTGTGGCAACAAAGTTTTGCTTCTTATTTCTTTTTCTCTCCTCTGTGTTTTTTTGCAGTGTTTGAATCACCCGTCTTGTTACTTGAAAAAAATAATGAGGATGTTCGTGTGTACTGGTTCGGATAATTGGTTTTTTTAAGTTAGATTAAGTACAGTTTGTATATTGGGTTGAAGTTACTGTAACGAAAAACATGTAAAAAGATGGTATAGGTTGTATGTGAGTGGCTTTATGTACAGTATGTATATTGTGAAATTGTGTTTATGCAAAGTGTAATTAGTTATGAATGAGAAAAAGGTTTTGACATGAATGGGTGGTAGTATAGTTTGAATGGTGGGTACTTGAATCAGAGTGGAATAAGGGTGGTGGAAATTGGCCTCATCCAATATGAAAGAAATTAGTTCTATTTATATTAGAAAATTAGGTTAATTAAAATAAGAAATAAATTAAATTAATCTAGTAATTGAATAAATTAATTAAAGTCCAAAATTAATTTTAGATTTTGATCGTATCTGATCAGAAGAAATCATTAGGGTCCATGAGCTTTAAGTCGAGTAGTGGTTGAATGTGAAGTGGGGGTACATGTAAGACACTTTGACGCCAAAGTTTGGTTCAGTGCGAGAGCAAGTGGAGTAGGTGAGGTAGAAAGAATGAATACGTGATCCTCTTAAGTGAGAGGGTATTTATATCCTTCAATATTGGACCAAGGTCCCCAAGTTGGACTGGTTAAGCAGACCCAATATAGAGACTGTCAGGACCTACGTGTGTAGTGGAGACCAGCACGTGGTCTTCATCTTGAATGAACTATTCTGAACTCTGCGGGAGACGTGGATGCGGTATTTTCAGGGTCAAGATGACTCTGGGATATTCAGAGACGTGGCGTCTGCCTTAGGAGGAGGGTGCATGTCAAGACCTCTTGGGAGCTGTTAACATTCCTCGACAACCCTATGGCGAGGAAGGCCTAGGGGGCATGTCCTAGTCGACGAGGATGGAGTCGCTGCCTGACATAGTCAAGGGCAGCCTCATTCTTGTCGGTCTTCGCCTGCAACATGGTTGGATTGGGCCTCGTATGCTGTTTGGGTCAAGTGCAGGCCCAATACAGAACATGAGTCCACGAAGTCATTGCTCCTAAGAGGAGGAGCTATGACTTAAGACCAACTCACCGGTCCGCCGAGGATAGCTTCGTCGGGGACCTTTATTCCTTCAAGAGACGAAGTTGTCCATGTATGGTAGTTGTATGGATAGAAGTTGGAGCGTGTTTGCAGGGAGAGTACACATGCTCCTCGACTCGCGGGGAGATGAAAAGTTTGTAGGATGATCACTTCGTGGGCCACGTGGCATATCTTTTAGGATAGAATGATGGCCTAAGGAGTAGGGGTCATTACGACTCTGAACGCATGGGCGGCGGAGAAACGAATAGTTGACACGTTATTCGACGCGACGCTTTGTCTTCCGTGCAAGTTTTATAATTAGTACTCAAGGGCTCATTTATAATGTTTTCAAGTTCTTGTTTCGTCCTTTCTCCTTACTGCCATCAGTTTTCCTCTCAACCGTGAGCCCCGCCGCACCTTTCGCCGCAAAATCCATACCAACTTTAACCAAGTAAGTGATTTTCTGTGATTACTCTTGTCTTTAGGTGGGTTTTATACTTTATGGAAATTTTCGGAGCGGCCTCCCCATAGAATTCATGGATTATTTTGATGAATTTCACTACCTAGTGTGTTTTACCTCGGGACATTCTTACTTCTCCTCGTGAGATTCATCAGTATTGATGGATCATACGTCTCGTGGGGGTGAAATCCCTGCGAAAACCATGAGTTTGCTCGTGGAACTCATTTGTTCCTCATGGAACTCATGGGATTGCTCGTGGAATTCATCATCTCCTCACAAAACTCGTGAGATAGCAAGGGAATTCATCCTCTCCCCGCGGTACTTATGGGATTGCACGAGAAATTCATCTCTTCCTCGTCAACTTCACGAGGTTGGGCGATAGATTCATGTTCTCCTCGTGGCATTAATGAGCTTGTTTGCTTATTGCTGAATGAGGGTTCGTCGACATGGTTTGGTCGTAGCAACCCCCTTTCACTTGTGTTGCGGTGGAAGGGGGATTTAATTTAGCTGTCGAACTCACTGGTTTCCTCTACTTTACAGGTGAAATGGTTGAACCAGTCGAGACAGCCGAGCAGGCCGAGATAGAGGAAACGAGTGGAGCCGACGAGGGTCTCCATTTGGTCGACATCATCAGCGATCCATCATTATCCTGGGTCGGGCCAGAGCCTCGAGGAATAGCCTCGATCTTTAATAATACTCGGAGGGAGGCGTACATGGTTGTCGAATATGGTGACGACCAGGAAGGTTTCAAGCGCAATTTCATGATCTTCCGCCTGACCCCTACGGTCAGGATATGCTTGACTTTTCAGGAAAATCGCTTCCCTATTGTTTACCTCTGGTTTTGGTAAACAACGCTTGTCTCTTAACAGAAAGTTTACTGGCGAGATCGACCAGGAAATTTCAGTACAGTGCCTCAGTTCTCGAGTGTTTTCACAAAGTGTTTTCAAAAGGGTCTGTTTAACTAAGGCGAAGCGGACCTAAAAGCAATAAAGTAGGAAACGCAAAATAAAACAAAGACGTTTAAACTGTAAAAATAGATGACATAACATCAAAACAATTGAAAATAAGTTGATTCAAACATACATCTCCCGTGATTGACTCATTTCTCTCGTTCGCTTGGGTACTCTGATTGACTAGCGCGTAGTAATGTGAAAGTTTGAACCCCTTACACTACACACTAAATGCTTTATTTATAATACATGAAAACAACTACTTTCTGGAGGATTTCACTTCCTTATGAGCCACGTGTCCCTTGTAACTTCCCTTCATGAACCCATGTTCTCCGTTCTTACTATCGAACCCACGTTCTCTATTGTAACTTCCTTTCATGAACCCACATTCTTCATTCTTGCTATAGAACCCACATTCTCTATTCACAAGGCTTTGCTTTGCTAGTTATTGCCTATTTTGGGCTTTTTAACACTATTAGGCCCAACCCATTACCCATGAGGCCTCTCTTCTGGTCGACCGCAACTATAAGCCCAAATCTCCCTTTTATTAAATCTCTTCTGGTCGACAGCTTCTGTGCTTGACTTCCTATAATCAAAAATCCTCAAAGAACTCTTTTTGCTTTTGGTTGGATTGTGACCCCTTTGTAAGACTCCTACCCAACACCTATGTATGAGATTGTATTCAGAGATTTTGGGCTTCGTCTGCCCTTTAGTGACTTTTAAATGGGCATCTTTAATCATTTGTCCTTGGCGCTCTCCCAACTGCACTCCAATGCAATCACTTTTATACAGGCTTTCGAGATCACCTGCCGATATCTGAAGATTGGGGCGATGATTCCTTTGTTCTTCAGGGTTTTCCACCTTCAACGACAGTCTAGGGGAGGAAAGCATAGTTTTCAAATAATCCAAGAGAATGTTTAGGATGTATATGGACTATGTTCGTGACTTCAAGGACAAATGGTATGTCGTGCAACCCTCATCCCAAGAGGCAGTGGGTGCGGTGTTCGACCCAGTCTCTATTATCGACGAGGATGGGGAAGTTTGTTATGACAAAGATGGGAATAAAGAGATCAGGAGGCTCTCCAAGTTTCCTATTCATTGGTGTCGGGGTCATTACAACCACGGGCCTAGCCATTATCATACTTCTGCTGGTAGCATGGGTGCCGAGGACGAGGGAGCCTTCGGTATTCTCAACAAATTCGTCGATGGCTTCTTCCCCTCCAAGTGGGTGACGAGGGAGGGAGACGACATCCTTGGCAAAGACAGTGAACCTACATTCGAGGCCCGTTTGATCAACACCAAAGCACTTGTTGAATGTCGTACCTACGGGGATTCTGCGACTCTTCTGGGTCTTTGTCCACGTGACTCAACTGTATTATGTTTTCAATTTTTTCTAGGCATATCCTTCTAGCGGTACTAACTCGAGCATATTGTTTTTATTTTTGCAGGTTGTTGTACCCCAAAATTTGCCCTCTCATTCTATCAAAGATTTCCCCTCACAAGACTCTTTGAACTCTAGACAAGATTAAGGTTTTGCACTGCTCAAGAGATCTCCTTGCACTGATGACCTAAATTAGGGTTTGAGTTTGCATAAGGAATTTTGGACTTCTAATGCTCAAAGTTACTTTCATACTTCATGTTGGACTCATAGGTTTGTCCATACCAAGTTTCAAGCTTTGAATTAAATTTTTGCCCAGTCAATTAGACAGTTGACCTAGAAATCAGTTGTATTGGGGAAAAAGTCAACTATGGCCAATATACAGTCAAACCTCATAGAATTTGATCCACATCAACATTCTAGGCTCCTATGAACCATTTTATCAAGTTTGGACCACAACTCCTCAAGAAATTTGATCAGATCATCAAAAGGGCAAAATGATCATTTTTAGGGTTTTGACTGCACAAAGGCAATTTCTGATTTTTGACCTAGCAAATGGCAAATTGGGTTCAAGCATGGATTCAAGGACTCAATGGAATCATATTTACATATTCACAAAGCTCAAAAGATCTCAATTGCATTGGATTGACAGATGAATTTTTCAGTCAACTGATCAAAATTTGACTGTACACTGAAAAGTCAAACTTTGACTTTTTGGTCAAAATCAAGTGCCAAGGGTCATTTTTCATCAAGATGTGTCAAAACATAAAACTTGTTCATCAAGAAACCAATTTTTGCAAATTAGGGTTTAAAGTTGAAAAATTTCATAACTTAGAATTTTTCTAAGTTATGAAATTTTCTTAATTTTTCCTAACTT